AATATCTTGTTTTCTCCATCTATAGTGACTGAAAGTTTTGCTAGGTACAGTAGGCTTGGTTGGCATCTATGTTCCCTTAGTGTTTGTAGGATATCTATCTAGGATCTCTGGCTTTCAAAGTTTCCATTGAGAAGTCAGGTGTGATTCTGATAGGTCTGCTTTATATGTTACTTGGCCTTTCTCCTTTGCTACTCTTAATATTTTCTCTTTATTCTGTAAGTTTGGTGCTTTGATTGTTATGTGTCAAGGGGACTTCTTTTGTGGTCCAACCTGTTTGGTGTTCTGTATGCTTCTTGTACTTTCATAGGCACATCCTTCTGCAGGTTGGGGAAGTTTTCTTTTATGATTTTGTTGAATATGTTTTCTGTACCTTTAAGCTGGATTTCTTCACCTTCTTCTATACCTATTATTCTTAGGTTTGGCCTTTTCATGGTGTTCCATATTTCCTGGATATTTTGTGTTAGGGACCTGTTGGGCTTGAGATTTTCTTTGGTAGATGTCTGTATATCCTCTAGCAAGTCTTCAACAACTGAGATACTCTCCTCCATCTCTTTAATTCTATTGGTTATACTCACATCTTTAGTTCCTGATCATTTATCCTGCCCTTTTTATTTCCAGCATCCTCTCGTTCTGTGTTTTCTTTATTGTGCTATTTCAGGTTTCATGCCTTGAACTTTTTCGAGTGCTTCCTTAACTTGTTTGGTTGTTTTTTCTTGGTTTTCTTTAAATTCTTTAAGAGATTTGTTTACTTCTTTAATTTTTTGGTTTGTCTTTTCCTCCATTTCATGTACTTTTTTGCTTGTTTTTTTCTTCTATTTCCTTAAGGAATTATCTTGTTTCCTCTTTAATGGTTTCTATCATCTTCCTAAGATAATTTTTGAGGTCCATTTCTTCTTCATCCTCTGTGTTGGGCTTTTCAGATCTTGCTGGTGTGGGGTCCCTAGATTCTGGTGGTTTCATATTGGTCTTTCTGATTTTGAGTGTGTTCTTACTCTGTCTTCTTCCCATCCCTTCATCCAGGGAGTGCAGGTGGGGTCTCTCCCTCTCTCAGGTGGCAGCTGGATGGCAGAGGGTGGTGGCTGGACAAAGGTGAGGTGTGTCCAGACTCAAGGTGGGTCTTCTGACCAGCCAGTTCCACTCTTGTCCGGTGGGAGGGGGGGTTAGATTCAGGCAAAATCAAGCAGGGGTTGATGGGGAAGGTTGGAGGGAAACAAATCAGCTCCCAGACTCAACAGAGGCTCGGGGACCCCCCGCCCCACAGAGGGCAGAGTGTAGAGAGAGGTGAAGTGTATCCAGACTTAGGGTGGGCTGGTACATGTTTTTATTACATTTTTCTAATAGGGTCTGGAGACACGGTTTAGGGGTGAAGTGCACTGGTTGCCCTATTGGATTCAATTTCCAATGTGCATGGCAGTTCACAATTATCTGTAAGTCCAGCTTCTGGGGATCAGATGACTCTTCTGGCCTCCACCTGTACCAGGCATACATGTAGCACACATAGTTGTCAGTAAAGCATGCACACACCTTTAAAGAAATGGAAAGCTCTTCTCACTGTTATATATGCAGAATTTCATTTTAATGTATACTCTAGGAAAAATTTAAAAACATAAACCTTCATAAAGACTTTTACCAGTTTGATATCTTTATGTTTCTATTTTTTTAATTTAAAATTTTTATTTTTCATTTTACATAGCAACCCCAGTTACCCCTCCTTCACCACGTCCTACCCCCCAGCTCCCCACCCCCATCTACACCTCAGACAAGGTAAGGCTTTCCTTGGGGAGTCACGAAAGCCCTTCCCCCTTATATTAAGCCTGAGTAAGTTATCCCACCTTGAAAGGTTTCCCATGGGAAATGGGCCCCTAAAAGACAATTCATGAACCTGGGATAGGTTCTGGTCCCACTACCAGACCTGCCCTCTTCAACAGATCAGGCCACATAACTGTCACCTGTATTCAGAGGACCTATTTTGGTCGCATGCAGTTCCCCATCTCTCAGTCCATGGACTGTGAGCTCCTACTAGCTGGGGTCAGATATCTCCTTGGTTTTCTCCATCATCATCTTAACCCACCCCCTTGATCATATAATGGCTCCTCCTTCTCATCAACTTAACTCCAGTAGTTCAGCCCAGTGCTTGGCTGTGGTCACTTCATCTGCTTCCATCAATTACTGGATTTAGGTTCTGTGATGACATTTAGGGTAGTCACTAATCTGATTAAGGGGAAGGTCCTTTCAGACATCCTCTACACTATTGCTGGGAGTCTTAGCTGGGGTCACCAATGTGGGTTCTTGTGAATTTCTCCAGCACAAGGTTTCTCCCTAAACCCATACTGGCTCCCTCTATCAAGATCTCTCTTTCATTGCTCTCCCTGAGTATTTTGTAAACAGTTGTGATTTATAAGCAGAGCGTAGTGGAAAATGCTATGTCACATTATTTGATCAGTCAGTTTCTCTCCAGCATGACATTTCTAGTGTCTCCTAAGATTCAAAATCTGGATAAAGGATGGCTCAGTCTTTGCATGTGTATGGTTTCTCTCCATTATGGATTTTCTGATGTTTCCATAGAGCAGAAGAGAGGACAAAGGATTTGTTACATTCCTAACAACTGTAAAGTCGACATCCAGTATGAACTCTTGCATATCTTCGAGGATTCAAGTCCCGGGTAAAGGACTTGACACATTCCATACATTTGTAGGGATTCACCCCTGTGTGAATACTGTGAGGCCTTCTTAGATTTGAGCAGCTGGAAAAGGATTTATCACATTCCTTACAACTGTAAGGTCATTCTTCAGTATGAACTGTCTGATGTCTTCTAAGACCTCAGATATAGGATATGTCCCAATCTTAGCATATGAGAGTATCTCTCCAGTATGATGTATCTGATATCTCGTTAAAAGATTGGGAAAAAAATGTCACAAACCTTACAGCTCTAGGGCCTCTCTCCAGTATGTACTCTCTGATGTCTTCTAAGATGTGAGTATTGTGTAAAGGACTTGTCACATTCCATACATCTATAAGGTTTCTCCCCAGTGTGAACTCTCTGATGTGTTCTAAGACATGAGAATCTGTTAAAGGATTTGTTACATTCCTTACATATGTAAGGTCTCTCTCCAGTATGACCTCTTTGATGTATTCGAAGATTTGAGGAAGTACTGAAGGATTTGTCACAGTCCTTACAACTGTAAGGTCTCTCTCCAGTATGAACTCTCCGATGTTTTCTAAGAGTTGTGATATCGATAAAGGATTTGTCACAATCTATACATTTAGCAAGTTTCTCTCCAGTATGAATTCTCTGATGTGCTCTAAGACTAGAGAAATGAGTATAAGATTTGTCACATTCCTTACATCTGTAAAGTTTCTTTCCAGTGTGAACACTCTGATGTGTTCTAAGAGTTGATTTCCAGGTAAAGGATTTTTCACATACCTCACATTTGTAAGGCTTTTCACCAGTGTGGATTCTGTAATGCCTTTTAAGAAGTGATAATGTAAGAAAGGACTTACCACATTCTTTGCATTTGTGAAACTTCTCTAGAAAATGAGTTTTCCTATGCCTACTTAATGCTGAATAGTGAGGAAAGTGTCTGTCACAGTCATTGCAATTGTAAGGTTTCTCTCCAGCATGCCTTTTCTGATGGCTATTAATTCCTGACAAGTAACGAAATGACATTCCACATTCTTGGCACTTGTAAGGTTTCTCCCCACTATGAATTCTTTGATGTGCTTTAAAACTTGCAATCTGCGTAAAGGATTTTTCACAAATGTTGCACTTGTAGGGTTTAATGCCAGTATGAATTCTTTCATGTACAGTGAGATTTGAGGCAGCACTGAAGCATTTCCCGCATGTCCCACACTGGTGTCGTTTCTCTCCAGTGTAGATTGGTTGTAGCAAAAAACTGCATGCAGAGCTGAAGGAGTCATCAAATTCTCCCTGCTTGTGCTCTTTCTTTGTGGTGTGCAGTCTCTGATCTTGAGTAATGCTGAAACATAAATTTAAAGATTTCTTACAGTCTTTAGATCTGCAAGGTTCTTCTGCAGTGTGCATGCTTTCATGTCTGTCTGGGTTTGAGGAGTAAACAGAAGCATCCCTGTGATTACTGCATGTATAGTTATCAGAGTTTTCTGTAGTTTCACTTGGTCTATACAGTGCACAAGTGGAGGGGTCATGCAGCACTTCTCCAATTTCATTACACTGACAAGACTCCTTTTCAGTCTCCATGTGCTGATGGACAGGATCACACTTGTAATAGTTCTCTGAGAAGTAGAATACTTCATATTAATAGGGTTTGCTCCAATAATAAGCATGTGATAAATGACTGTCTCCCTAAGTTGTCAGTTAACATCAGTGAACCTGGAACTGAGATTACTGTTCCTAGTAATGGACAGATTTCATTCACTGTAGATGTATGGATTCTCACAAACACAGCATGATATCCTTCAAAAGTCAGTGATTTATAACAGATATCTCATCTTTCTCAAAAATCTCTAACTGGGGGCTGGAGAGATGGCCCAGGGGTTAAGAGCACTTACTGTTCTTCCAGAGGTTCTGAGTTCAATTCCCAGCAACCACATGGTGGCTCACAACCACAATCTGTAATATGATCTGGTGCCCTCTTCTGGCACACACTGTATACAAGATAAATAAATAAATAAATCTTTAAAAAAAATCTCTAAATGGAAAAAGATGGAAAAATAATTGGTGGAGCTGAATTAGCTTTCAGTTTGTCTTCTTGAACTAAGTATATGTAGAATACACGTATCCGACTTTAAATATTTCTTTTCAGAAATTGAGGAAGAGGAGTTTAATCCAATCACAGGTTCACAGAATTTATATTAAATGATAGGCAATAAAGACTACAGAAGACCTAATACCTTAAAAGACTAAAGTCTTACTCAAAAGCATCACAGGCTTATTTTATTTCTTTCTCTAGAAACACATACACACACACAAAACAAAACAAAACAAAACAAAACAAAAACCCAAAACCAAAAATCAATCAGCTTCCTGAAAAGTAATGGATGCAAAAGCAGCATGATGTCAGACATTAGAGCCTCCAGCTGGATTGAGGCAGAGCTGTCACGGGCAGCTATTGCTTATTTCTATCCTCCACTGTCTGAGCTCCATACACTGCTGTGTTCTTAACTTTCCTCATAGGGTTGTTCTCAGGTCCACTCTGTACACTGACTCCTGACTGTGACTGTGTACTTGCCACTGGGAAAAAGGAAGGTAAAATATTAAGATATGTATACAGAGAAGGCAATTAAAGAATAATCATACTTCACAGACTCATGTTAGAGTAAAAATATTGCAAACTATCCCAATCCTACTTCAGATTAATCAAATACAAGTGAATTGTTACTAGTATTAAGTCACCATGATTCAGGTGTAATAAGAGAAGAGAATGCCTTCTAACAGTTAAAACTGACAGATGGCATCTAAGGGCCAGGATCCTACACTAACTTAAAAGATCAAGAATACTTTTTTCTTTTCTTTTTTTTTTTTTTTTTTTTTTTTTTTTTTTTTTTTTTCTCGAGACAGGTTTCCTCTATGTAGCTTTGGAGCCTATCCTGGCACTTGATCTATAGACCAGGCTGGCCTTGGATTCATGGAGACCCGCCTGCCTCAGCCTCCAGAGTTCAGAGATTAAAGGCAAGGCATCAACGCCCAGTGGTCAGGAATACTTTTAGGTGGAATTGAGCACTGCAAATACATTCTCAGTTCTGGCTTTTCCTTGAAGCCTTCACTGTTTGCCAGCTCATTCACTAGTCCACCCTATTGTGATTCTCTCTCCTCTCCACATTCTAGGGCAATCTCATTCTTTCCAGACAGGTGACTAGGCCTGGCCTGATACAATAATACACATGTTCTTTGACACAGCAATGAGCCAGGACTGAACTTTTTAGAAAGAATACAGAAGTGTAAGACAGTCCTGTGCTCAGTACATGAAAACAGAAAGCAGAGGAATTTAAACAGGATTCCCCCAGGGATATTTCTTATCAAATTCTTCAGTATAGTTAGTATTTCCAGTTTGTATATCTTGAATTTTTCTCACAATTAAAAACATGTCTATTGCAATAAAAGACAGAAAGCGTTAAGATATAGTGGAAACATTATATGCTATACTACGAATGATTCTTGGAACTAAATGAAGGGTGGGTGACAGCTCTAAAAATGGAAAACTGAAAGAGAAAACTAAATGGCATGAAAATGCTCTTTCCTACTACTATACTTTGCCTTGTCTACTGCTAGTTCTTAAATGACAGATTTTAGAACCTATGAAGTAACAACAAACAAAAGACGTGTTAGGAATTCTAGAAGCAAAATGTTCTCACCCACAAAGACCAGGTTGTTGTAATTCTCCAACATCACATCAGTGTACAAATTCCACTGAGCAGAGTCCATGCATTCCCACTCCTCTTTCGAGAAGGTCACAGTCACATCACTGAATGTCACCAGACCCTGAAACAAAAAAGTAAGGGTTGACCAAGCACTAACTGGTAGTGCTTTCCTGGCTAAAAGGAGACACACAGTATGACTTCCAATACAGTCATATTCTATCATGAACATTCTAACTCTGTGTAAACACATTGACACAAGAGTCTCACAAGCGGTATATATGAAACAAGAAATACATTTAAGGTCTGACACGGTTATCTATATGTTATGGATGCTGTGTTCATGTCCCACAGGAGAAATGTCTCAGAAGGCAAATTCATGAGGAAGTGGTCTTTAGATGCTGTGCCTTAGATCATGATAAAACACTGACACTGAATTCATCCTGTGTGTACTTGGCCCTTACATGACTCTATTCAAACAGGCTCCTTGGGGATATTTACACTCTAGGTACAATGCCCCACCATTAAGTAGCAAAGGAGTAGGTATGGACTACAGATTATAGGACTGATTCTATAGACAAAGAGTTGATTTTTTTTTCCCCAAGGAGCAGGGATTGTAATAGCAGTACATACTGTCAATCTTAACATTGACATATTAGTGTAATGAGTTAATTTTATGAGAATATTTGTGCCAACATGAACACATAGTAAAATTTGAATCAGCAATATTTGATATCATCCAAAATTTCCTTAAGAATATGCCTAATAGAGACAAATAGCAATTATAGCACTTTTGAAAAAGTATTTCACTTTACTCCCAAAGAGTAAAAATCAAGGGAGGTCAAATTTTATTGACACCGTTATCAATTGTTCTGAAGAAAGTCTTTTCCTGCCTGCATTAAGATAATCCTGAGGAGGTTTTTGCCAGTTTAAGGCTCCAGAATTCTTTCTAGTGAAACAGAATGTGGCTGAACTGATTTCCTGTCCCATTTCCCCACTCACTCCATCCCTTCCCCCTCCTTCTCCAATCCCTCCACCATACCTGCATCTTTAGCTTCTGTCTCCTCTCTCCTTCCAGGCCCCTCTGCTCTGCTGCACAGGTGAGCAGGTCTGGGTGATCAGTGAACCTGCACATGAGAAAGAGATTGTTCAGGAAGCCCCTGGATTTCTAACACAGTGCTGTGCTCTGTAGATGAAGAGAACACTAAGTACAGGATTATACAAATGACTTCCTAACTGTCATGCAATGTCAAAATACTGGAAATATTTAGAAAGCTTTTTTACTAAGCATCTCTTGAATCACACGTCCAATCACAGCTCAGTCAAAACTCAGGGGCAGAAATCAACTAATGACTGGGAAGAGAGTATCACACACTAGTGATGTTCTGAGTTGATCATGGACCAATAATGGTGGAGCCTTACATCTCCCATAGGGACATAAGAGGAGGAGAGAACATTTATGAAAATTCTCCTTTACCTTTCAGGATTTCACTTTATTCTGTGGGATGTGGGACTCACTCACACAAGGCTCACACACTTGCAGATTAGTTTGTCATGAAATACCGATGAGCAGCAAGGGAGACTACAAGCAAACAATTCTCAGTCACAGAAACCACACTAATGCAACTCTGCAATGTCAGGTGTACCATGTTTCAGTGTCAGTTGAAGAAAGAAGTCACTCAAAGATGACAAAGTCACGGAAGGGCTACAATTTCCCTTCAGCAAAACAATTCTAGAGTTCACGTGAAACAACCACTGTTTTCTACAGAGTCTTCAAGATCAAAGTACTTCTTAAAAAAAAAAAAAAACTGTTGTTCAGCTGGGCAGTGGAGGAGGAGCACCCCTTTAATCACAACACTTGGAGGTAGAGGCAGGTGGATCTCTTTGAGAACAGCCTGCTCTACAATCATCCTGTTGGTTCACACGTTTAATCCTAGCACTTGGGAGAAATATGTTTGTGGAACTCTGTGTTTTACAGTCTAGCCTGCTCTACAAGGGCGTTCTGAGCCAGACAGAGCAACACTGTAAGTTCAGGTCTCAAACACAGGAAACACCAGAATCAAAAGTAAGTTTGGTCATGTGTCCATGGACAGAGTGCTTTTCTTGGACCAAGGATAGAAAAGACTATTGCAGGCCGGGAGGTGGTGGTACACGCCTTTAATGCCAGCACTCGGGAGGCAGAAGCAGGTGGATCTCTGTGAGTTTGAGACCAGCCTGGTCTACAAAAGC